TGTGTCAATGGTTTGTGTGTGCGCGGCGCGTGTGTACATGTTGGTGTGCGTATCTGCGCGTCCTGAATGCGCGTGGTCTCTCTCTCTCTCTCTACACCCATGGGCGACGCAAGAAAGGGCATAATCCAAATAAGTGCATGTCTGTATAATATGTGACCGTTTCATATTTCATAAATCATTTTAAGTGTGCGTCACAGTCGACCGAACGTAACCTACCCAAACTGCGCAGAAAATAACACGTGCAACTCACCCCTACACACGGCGTGCGCGCCACCCACACACACAACACACACAACACACACTACACACACACACAACACACACTGCACGCGACGCACGCACGCAGCGGCACGCACGCACGCACGCACGCACACGCACTGCACACACACACACACACACACACACACAAACACACACATACTCAGCCAAGTATCGTGGTAATCGGTTTCCAAATCGCTGTGGATCAGTAGTTAGTTAGATGAGATGGTGCTATGAGTCACGATTCTTGGTGCGCTGTGTATATAGGCGTAATTAATGGTATTACAATCAAAGGCGTATAGTAGCATTACGGAAGTAAGTCCGTAAGCAGTTTGTGGTAATTACAATTCTACGTTTCGAAACGAACACAACCTCGCTTCACGTTCCAACCCATCACCAAAAACATTAATTAGACATTCAATGCTGATTACATAGTTCTCTTCCATTCAGCGATATTTCGTCTCGCAGCTCGCGACAAATAGTCGGCGATTAAAAGATCCATTAAGCGTACGTCTTGTGGCCAACGCTTTCAACACTCGCATTCACTCTCCGGTACACACGAACCTCCCGCGTTCCCATAGAGCGCGCATATATGCTACAGGGGAATTTTGTTCGCGTACCACGGTCGGCCCACGATTATTAATCAACCGATCCCGCAACCGTGTATCGTTTCATTGGTTTAGCAGGTATCCAATAGAGATGCGCCGAGGACTAAAACATCGCGGGCGTTTTCGACAGTAATTGCGTCCATTGTGTTCGCGCGCCGCCTGGCGTATTGATGTTGGAAATGTCAGTTGGCGTATGTATTATCGGAATTGAGCCTGTGTCAGCGCGTATGTTTCGGCGGCCCTGCTGTTGGAGCGTACGTTTGTGTTTTAGGATTATTGTTTGGAATGCGGTTAAACGTTGCTATTTCGGTTGGTATGTCGATACACGCAAATTGGGCAACGGAAGGTCGTACGAAGGTGTCTTGCGTTGGGCGTCTGTGCGTAGTGGCGTGTGCCGTGGGTTCGTTTGTTCGCGCGCCGCGCGCGCGCCGTGTGCGTGCTGTGCGTGCGATTCGTTTGTGTGTGTGTGTGCGTGCGTCCCGAGAACCTAGTCCTTGCAGTGCAGTGGGCGTGCGTGCGTGCCGTGCTGTGCGTGCGTGTGTGTGTTGTGTGTTGTGTTGTGTGTGTGCTGTGTGTGTGCGTGCGGTCGTGCGTGCAGTGCGTCGCGTCGGCTGTGTGTAATGTGTGTCGTTGCGTGCGTGTTGTGCGTGGACGTTGGTTGAGTGTGCGTGCGTGCCGTATTCATCCGTTGCTGTGCCGTGGTGTGGCAACAGGGAGCTGTGCGTGTGCGTCGTGCGTGTGCGTGATGCGTGTGCGTGTGCGCGTGCGGTGCGCGCTGCGCCTGGCGCGTGCGCTCCGCTGCGTGCTTGTGCGTAGTGCGTTGTGCGTGTGCGTTGTGCGTGTACGCTGTGCGTGGGTGCGTGGGCTCGTTGTTTCGTGTGTGTGTGTGTGCTTGTGTGTTGTGTGCGTGCGTGCAGTGCTGTGCGTGCGTGTCGAGCCGGTGTAGCCGTCGTGCGTGTTGCGTTGTTCGTTGTGCGCGCGCGTGCGTGGCCCGTGTGTGTTGTGTGTACCTACAGTGTGTTACATACGACCGGTCGCGCGTTGTGTTTACCTGTACGTACACGCAGTGCCGCGCATATGTATTTGCCGTTGTGTTTGTTGCCGAGCTGCTACTATCGATGACCCCCCCCCCCCTGTCACCGCCGCATGCGCGGTTCGCTATGCTCCCGCCGCGACACGGTCTCAGTTTAGCAGACCACGATCGTGCTTCCCCGCCACATCTGAACAGCAACGATGGCTGCCGCACGACCGCCACCACCACCACGTGAGCACGCGGCTCGCCGACTTCATCGGAGAGCACGTCGTGACAGGGCATTCAGCACGTGCACGCGCCGGACACGTTTCGCGCTACGCAAAGCTGATTCTGGACCGGTGGTTCATCGTCGCCACGTCGCTAATCCTCGATGGTGGCAGCTGGATACGCATCATTCGTCGACTACCTTGGAGAACAAAACAGCGTCACGTCGGCGATTCGACATCACGCAGGCGCCGAAGCTGACCTTTCGGCGTGACATTGCAATCGAACGCAGATCGATGCAAACGAAAGGGCAAACGCCAAACGGCTTCTTCGACGTCGCCTGCGGAGACACCGCGCAGAAGCGGCGACAGCTGCGCTACGACGCCAAGTGGCGCGCGGGGGAGCGGGTGCGCGAGTAGGGCTCGCGACGCCACCAGTGGCGGGAGGAGGCGGTGAGCTGTGGCTCTACGCCAAGCGGCACGGCGGTGGTGGGGGGGCGTTGACGGGGGGCGCCTCCGTCGCGGTGGCAACTTATT